CAAAGTAATTACTCCCAACTTACCCACTATCAATTTCTAGGACAACCACCAGAAAGGCACTGTGGAACACTCACATTTCAATGACATCTCTCATCACCTGCTCCCCTTCCTTTATTGACTAGTTTGTGAATTGGAGCAAATCACTAACTTTCTCTAAGCTTTGGTTCTCAGTTGGCAAGAAGGATATAATTATACTTGCCCCACAATGCTGTTGTGAAGATAAAATGAGACATGGCTGTAGTGCCCACCACAATATCCTGCAGAGGCTCTGGAAGTGTGTTCCACTGTAGTCCCATCTATTCAGCTACTGAGCCACACCCCTCCCCTGTCACACACGCACACCCCTTGATGTTGCCTAGGCAAACAGACTTCTAAAGTCACTCCTGTCTGGTTCAGTACCTCCAAAATCAAGACTAAGAATCCAAAATATTAAAGTGAGAATTGGGAGATATTTTTCACTTCAGATTTCATTTAAAAATAACAAATTACAAAGTAGTAGCTAGAAAAGGAACCTGCTAATGAATATTCATGAATACTGCCAACCAGAAATAAAGACAAAAGCTGCCTTTTCTTGTAACATTAAAGTGAAAACAATAAGATACGGAGAAGGCAGCAGGAGAGCCAAAATGACACTTCCATTTCAGGGATAAGGGAATTTGATATAATATTTGACAAGGACTTGGTAATATACAACCCCTAGGAATGCTAATGAACACAACCCCAGACTTCAACCAAGTTCCATCTTGAACATCCAAGGGCAGTCATTTGGCTCACGATGAATAGATCTAACTCTTGGCTTCCTAGCCAAAGAAGACTGAAAAATTTGAATAAAAATTAAGAACAAGAGCTTTTAAAATGTTTCTTTTTAATGAAGTACAGTCCCATACTTCATTAACTTCAGTTTATGCTGAAGTCAATGATACATCTTCCTTGAGCTAAGAACCTGGGGAAGTTTAAGAAATAAAAACTGAAATTTCTTTATAGTTTTATGTTGGAGGGGTGTGCTTGGTTTTTTCTTCTGAATTTCAAAGGAGTCTGAGATGGGTAACTGAATGTCCCATTCTGAAAAATGAGCATCATGATAACATACCAGTAAGAGTCAGGGCTTTGAAGTGGAGCACTTGGTTTAAGAACAGGTTGATGAGAATATGCAGTATTTGATGTTCTGTTCCTGAATAGCCTCCAGCTCTTGTAAGTGAGAGCTAAGTGATAAGAACTTATGAACTTAAAGAAGGAAGCAACAGACCCTGGGGCTCTACTTGATGAGGGAGGGTGGGAGGAAGATGCAGAAAAAGTAACTACAAGGTACTGGGCTTAATACCCAGGTGATGAAATAATATGTACAACAAACCCCCATGACACTTGTTTGCCTATGTAACAAACCTTCACATGTGCCCCCAAATCTAAAATAAAAGTGAAAAAAACCTAAAAAATAAAAAATATAAAAAGGAGAGAACCAGCTAAAGAAAAACAAAAATGAAACCAAAAACAAAAACAGGTTGGGGGTAAACCAGCAGAAAAAAAAAAAAAAAAGAATTGCTGAAGGGCACAAGATGGGTTGGGGGAAAGAAAAGCTCTTATATCCATATGAATGATGAATGTGAAGTTTGTATTTGAACTTCTAAAAACCTGAAAGGAACTAAAAAATCCATCAGTTCTGCTAGGGTCCTCTTCAAAGAAAGGAGATTTGACTTTGACGGAGGATGTTTGGAGGCAGTGATAGGAGTAAAAGTAAAAAACTTTTTCATGTTTTTATGTCCCGTGCTTAGACTGCCCTTGGATTACAGCACTTTCCTCACTGTGAAGTATTAATACATATGAATCTCAAGCCTCCTGGTAAAACAAATGCTCTGATTAAGCAAGTCTAAGGTAAGACCCACAACCTTGCTTTTCTAACATCTCTGGGTAATGTTCACACTGCTGGTTTATACATCACACTTTTAGTAACATGTAAAGAAATTTGAGTTGTAGCACCTACTGTTGGTTCATCACATTAGGATTTGGAAGCTTGTCCCCTAAGACCATTTTTTTGTGTTTGACAGATACTAGCTTGCCCTAGTTACCTCATGGGTTATCATGAAGCTGTAATTAAACAACATGCCAAGTGCTTTATGAAGTGTAAAGAACAAAGAATAGCAGTATGATCACCATCATGAAGATCATAAATGACAAATGACTTTCTGAAGGACCCAATGTAAGAGGCAAAACTAGGCTCAAAATCTGCATCATCTGACCTTAAGCAAGTGCTGTGTACTCCAGTGTGTTGAAACTTAAGGTGTTGTGAGGACCAGACCACATTTATTTCCATCTTACATTTGCCTCCCTGCCTTAATGCATATATTACATTGAAAATATACACAGTGGGATGATTCAAACCCTTGTATTTCCTTAGAGGGGCAGATATCACTGCTGCTGTACTGCCCAGCAGGCGATCAAAACACTCAATACGCTTACAATGTAATAACACCACTGTTAACCAGGTAAATGTTACAGAAAGCAGTGTAAATGCCCAACCACATGAGAGAATTTCAGAGAGAAGACACAAAAATGTGGGCTAGAATAATCAAGGAAGGCTGTGTGGAAGAAAAGTGTGGTTTTGAGATGTCCTTGAATGAGAAAGGTTTAGGTAGCTTAGAAGAAAGGCAAGGCTGACGCTGAGCAAAATCACAGTGGGATCTCCAACGAATTAGTTGTCCTGCACACAGTGTCAAAGACTATATTTAATACCCAGAAAGAATCCTGTATGTTAGAACATGGAGGCCAGCTCAACTGATGCAGTAAACTAGTTCAGTAATTAGAAAGGAGGGAGTCCTGGAATACCAGGGTAAAGACTGTACACTTTATTCTGCATGGGATGGAGGGCCATTTAAAGAATTTTTAACTTGGCAGAAACAGAGGAATGAAATTGGATATTTGGATGGAATATATTGGGGAGAATATGAAAGGCATGAGAGTAAGTACGTATATCTTTACAACTTATGTTTACAGCAGTGGACCCACATAATCAAGTGAGATCTTAAATAAAACATCCATCTGTCTGTCTATGTTGAGAGAGAGAACATGTAAGCAGAGCTGTTTTAGGTCAAGGTGTGACGAGGCCCCCATGCTGAGCTGTCAGGAGTGGAACCCTCAGGCCTGCTTGGTTTCTTTTGAAAGAAGGTCACTATATGTAGTAAGTATATAAGGATGCAGGAACTAGAAATGCAAAGAAAAACTATACAGACATGTTTTATGAAGGAAGAATAGATTGTCTGATGGCTTCAACAGCTCCAGAGCCAGGCATTTTGGCTTCAAGTCCAGTACTCTTCATCTACATCCTTCTAACTCTGCCAATTACTATTTGACAATACATGCCAAGGAGAAAATGCAAAATCTAATACACTTATTAGTAATTTAAAAACTTCTTAGGCACTTCCTTTTATCTTCCAAAACTGAGGTCTTAAAAGAGCATTTAGTCTAAAACCCTAGTCCCATATCCATTCTTTAATCTTATCTCTAAGCAATTGATTGATTGGAAAATAATTTCTTCTTCAAAGTTGCAGACTTCCTGTTGTTGTTCCAAAGCCTTTCATAGTGATCTAATACTCGGGAGTATTTTAACAAGTTCATTACAAGACCTGAGTCAAAAAAGAGATTACACTGGGCACAAATAAGTTGCCCAGGATAGCAGGCGTTAATTTATTTTCACATAGAATAAAGAGATGGCCTACAGTAAGATTGAAAACTATAATAATAGTAACCAGCAGATTTATAAACATACATAAAGACACCTATTCAACAAAAGGAGACCTGTTACATGTTCAGAAAAGCACACAAGGTGTGTTTGCACAGAAAGATACTATGAAAAAGTTATGGAGAAAATGAATGTTGATATAGTAATTATTTTTTTCATTTGCAAAACAAAACATACATGTTTGAATTTCTAGGAGGCATCATTTCTGAAATCACAGAGTTCAGAGTTCTTAAATACTCTGGGAAGCATCTCAATAACTCAGGACTGAATATTCTCTTCTTTTTTTGAAGATTTTCAGAAGTGTATATTTTATAAGCATCTTCCATTATTTTACTGTCAAAAGCAGAAGAGTTCCCTTGGTGTAAATCTGTCTTCCCTCTTTCATGTATGTCCACTTCCTCTTGTTCAATTCTCTGAACATGGGCAAAAAATGTCCAATATCCTCCTCAAGAAAGATTTTCATTTTTTTGATGATAGATGGTAAGTTATGCCTCAATTTTCTTATCCTAAATAATCCTAAACAATTTCAGTTCTTTTTACTTTTACTCAAAGAAGTTCCTCCTCTTTTTTTTGATGGAAGTCTTACTCTGCTGCTTAGGCTGGATGCAGTGGCGTGATCTTGGCTCACTGCAACCTCTGCCTCCCGGGTTCAAGCAATTCTCCTGCCTCAGCCTCCTGAGTAGCTAGGACTACAGGCACGTGTCACCATACCTGGCTAATTTTTTTTTTTTTTTTTTTAGTATAGACAGTATTTCACCATGTTAGCCAGGATGGTCTCAATCTCCTGACCTCGTGATCTGCCCACCTCAGCCTCCCAAAGTGCTGGGATTACAGCCGTGAGCTACTGCGTCTGGCCCCTCCTCATTTCTTTAATCACTTTAGTTTCCCTTTGGAATCCTGTCCAATTTCTCCACATACCTTATTAATGGGGACTAACAGTATGGAATTATTTAAAACTGCAAGTGATGCATCTTTTATTAACCTCTATATTCTACTAAAGCAAATGTTGTAATAAAAATGACATTAAAATGCACTCTATTGTCCAAATCAGAACTGGTGTACTATTTATGGATTATTTATGGGTAATTACTGGTAATTATAATAATAGCTATGATGTAATGAATGTTTCCTACATGACAGGCACTGAAAACTTTGCTGTCAAATCTTGACAACAACCCTAAAAGGTAGGTATTTTTATCCTAATTTTTTGTAGTAAGGACCCAGGTTAGATTGTCACAGATATCGATTGTGATTCCAGAGCCAGTACCTTATCACAGTGCTGTGAAGATGCATAATCCCATCCTCATACACATACGCACTGCATGGTGTGGCCCACGTGTGGTAATTGCTACAGGTCAGGTTTCTCTGGAACCAGGATCTGGGATGAAGATCTGCAGGCAGGAATATTACTGGTGAGGGATCCTGAAAACAACCCCAAAAGGAGTAAGCAAAGCAGGACAAGGGGTTGGAGAAGCTGGCCATGGGGCTGCTGTCACAACAAAAGCCTCAGCCAACCTTTCAGGTTGTACACATTGTCCTGAACTGAGTCAAGAGCCTTTGTGTCCCCAAATCAACCACTCAGTGAATGCACATAGGCCTGGGGCAAACAGTATAATCTTGGGTGAGGCAGCTCTGATTAGCTGAAGGCAGAGGACAATCCCCAAAAGGAGGGACCCAAGCGAGCCATCAGCTGTCAACACTCCAAGAAGCTGGAGAAAGAGTTCTTCAGTCAGGAAAGGGCAGGGGTTCTGAGTGGCACAAACAGCTCTACTACAGTGACTGTGTTCCGATCCCCAACTCAGATGTGGCCCTGTGAATCTGTTTATGGATTTTAAGTGACAGATCATATCATCTTAAGGCCAAATAAGTCAAAGAAATCAGACTGAGGGGAGAAAAGAACTTCAAATACCGCTTTGGTTTACATGCAGGACAAGAGGACTATTTCTTCTCTTAGTCACTCTCTCTTTGCCTCTTTCTCTCTTTGTCTCTGTCTTTCTGTCTCATTGACATTCTCTGTGATACACACATACTAATATGATGACACTAAATAAAACACAAAACCCCTGACAGCATGGAGAGGAAACAAAGGAGAGACAATAATTTGAAATCCTGGGAACAGATAGTTATTATCCAAGTGGATATTGTGATTTTTTAATAGTTCTGTCGATAATGTACATGTCCTCTAAATGAAGGATGTTTATGTTTTATTTGGTGAACAGAACCCTGCTAGTAGTTCTGCATCTTTAACCAGTTTTTTATCCCCAATCTTTCCTCCTATGTTTTATATATTAAAAGATATAATTGCCTCAGGATGGTTCTTGCCTAAAACCAACAGCACAAATACTTATAGTATTGATCATGAAGAGGAAGTTGTTTTATTTTTCCATTTTAAAATGAGAATGATAAACATGTTTTTAAAGTTTAAGATCAAAACTATTTATTATTTATTGTTATCTACTTATCCATTATGCAGATGCTTTTAAGAAGCTAGAAAGTCAACAACTGGCAAGAATGGTTTATTAGGGCATGAATTTGAAATAGATCCCTAAGGGAAAAACGAATCCAGCTTATATTATGAGAAAATGTGAAGAGTCATTGATTCACATTATGCTGTCGTGCTATTCTATAACTAAGGCAAAAACAAATTCTCTAGTCACCATTCTCATTTTAACATGAGAAAGAAGGTATTAGTGCAGTCACTGGGGTTCAAAAGTTAATAATAAACCTGAATCAAGAATAATTTCAAAAGTACCCAGACAACAAAAGGCAGTGGAGAGTGAAAATTCAAATGTAGCAGGACATTATCTGATTAGAAATCTGTTCTCATTGTCCTCCACCAAAACGGCCCACAAATTGCTGATGTAGTCTATCATCTATGATGGGATTGAATTTATACCCAAAGTTGGTGGCTCAGCATTTCCATTCCTCTTTCTTTTTAAAACCCCACATTATAAAAGGGCATACGGCAACACATTTTACTGTTAAATATGATGTGAGCCTGTTGGAATACTGCCCATTCAAAAGTGTCACCCCAGCAACTCACCCATGGCTTCCACTTCCCAAGAGGAGTTTTCCCATACAACCCTCCTCTTGTAGAATGCTGTGCTCTAACCACAGGGTACAAGGAAGACAGGCTCCAATGCTATTCCAACTTCTGAATAGTTTGAAATTGCAACTCCAAAACTAGCATAAATTCCATGCTTTGCTTTGTTTGCACAGTGGCACTTACAACACTCACTTTGGAATCCAAGCAGAAAGCAGCCACCCAATACTGCTGCATTCTGTCTTTCATCCATAGTAAGACAGTTCAAAAGAAAATCACCACCAAGCGAAGGAACAGTGGTGAGAGCTGATGTCCCGTTCAGCCATCATACCATCTTGTGTTCACAGTCTGCAATAGTTTCTGTATCTATTCATCCCTGCTCATACTGTTGTTCTGCCTAATGTAGCCAAGCAATGCAGGGGGCAAACATTTAGCAAATGCCAATGTCTCCCCTCAGCACTCACCCCTCATCCACAACATGCTATTTCCACTGCCAGTTCCACAAGCTGTCAAGGGTCTCACGTTTTGGAGACATCATATTAGTGTATGTCTATCACGCAGAGAATATGAGTGAGACAGAAAATGATTCATAGAGACACAGAAAGAAAATAGAGGCAAAAAGAGAGTCTGAAACAGGAAGAAATATTCCTTGTGCTCTGTGCATAAATGAGTAGAAACTTCTTCTATTACTGGCAGCTTTTGGGATGAATGAATCATGTTTTGAACACGCACCCTGATAATTTACAGCCCACTGATTTCACAGCAAAGACTGACCATTCTGTGGACTTCAGAGAACAATTCATTGTCTTCAAGACCACCTACAACTTGCATGCATGTGCTGTCATTCTAAATTATACCAACTCAGCATTTCCATAAATTCATCTTCTATACATAAAATTCATAGCAGTGTAATTGACCAAATCAAGAAATATCTTGTGCTTAGAATGACTGCAAACACAATTTATTGTATATTTCAAAATAGCTAGAAGAATGGTTTCTAATGTTCCCAACACAAAGAAATGATAAATCTTTCAGGTGATGAATATATCTAATTAATCTGATTTACTCATTACACAGTGTATGCATGTATCAAATATCACCCCTAAATATGAATAATTTGTATATGAAATATGTATAATCATTATGGATAAATTTAAAAATTAACAAGAAAGTGAATATTCTGTGATTCTGTGCTCAAAAGTGTTGGTTTTAAAGTCACTGATACCTTTAATAACTAGAATCCAAACACAGGTAGTTTGATTCTTTTCTGATCTTTCATTTCATTGGTAAAACCAGTCTAGAGAAATAAAGGCTGCCAAAAACAAAATCCATGTTAAAAATTAAAAACTACAAAATTTAAAAATAATAAAACCTTAAGCAGAGCCTTAAGTATTAAAGGAGAATCTGATTGTTTAATCTAAAGTGATTAACCAAAGCAAATGTCATTGGTGTGAACTGATTTACTTAATTCAATTCCCTGTTTTAAGACATACAGATAACTTCACAGCTCAATAAGGACTTAAAATGAGAAAAAAAAATGATGAGGTGGAAAAGACAGAGTGAGATTCAGGAGACCAGGACTTTGGTTCCAGCTGTTAGTGTTAAGTAAATTACTTAATTTTGCCTCAAATTATTTTTCTTGTATATGAAAAAGTGACAGATTTGTGAATCTTTAAAGGTCTTGGAAAGATGGTAGTGAACTATAGAGAGTAAAAATGAAGCATTTTGTAGTTGTCCAATAGGTATTAAGGAAAAAAATCAGTAAGCTAATCAAGATCACAGTAATCAAACAAAATTCACTCAAAATAGTACTATTGCAAGTATTATTTGAATTTGAAATTTTTACTCCGGACATACCCTCAAAGAAAGCTGTGAGAATGAATTTCAGCAGTCTAACTTGGGTGGACTTGCTCTCAAACAGTGCAGGCTCTGTTATAAAAGGCCTCAACCATGTCCTGGGTAGATGCTGAGAATACCCAAAGGGAGGGACCCTAACACCACCCCCCTGAAGAATGCAAGAAAGACCCTCTCAGTCTCCATAAGCAATGCTGAAACACTGAGCAGAACAATGAAAGTGAGAATTTGACAAGAAATCATGATTAATACTGAAAAAGAATGATATTTTAGAAAGCAAAACTTCTTTCTTAAATAATTGTTGTAGCTACTGTGAATTAAAATGGAGAATAGCATTGGCTTATTACTGTCCTTAATTTTAGGGTTTACATTGTTTGTTAAAGACTGCTTTGAATTTCCATTTATCAAACTGGAAAGGTCACCATATTTGTCTCTAGGACAAAATTCATAATTTATTATGCCAAGAAAATAAGAAAAACTACAGATACAAATGAAATAGCAGATATCAAAATGAAATGAAAACTGAGAATGTGATAAGTTGTGTTTTAAGTAAATAAAGAAAACATATTGAAGGCTTAAGTATAAAATTAAATTTATGATTCAAAAAATATTTTTAACCATTGCCTATAATGCCCAAGTCAATGTTTCTAGTTTTGAATGCTGCCCTTGCCTCCACACTTAGACTTCCAGTTGTCTGATGGATATTTCTCTAGATGTCCCTTATAAACTTCAAAGTCTTTCCCTTCCCAAAAATAAATCCGCTTCTCTCCTAAACTCTCCTTCTGGCATCATCACGTTCTCAGTCACCCATGTCAGAAATCCAAGAATTCCAGGTCCTGACATTTTCTCACTTCCCATGCCTAATCACCAAATCTAGCTCTTTTAAGCTTCTCTCTCTTTCTCTATTTAATGCTGCTTGTAGCCAAATTCTAGCCCTCTTAGCATTCCCCCATATAAATACAAAATGCGTATTTCTTTCCTTTAATATCGCTCCTGTTCATTCTCTATACTTCTTCCAGCGTAATACATATAAAATGCCAATGACCTTCCAGCTGAAAACTCCTCAGTGCTTCAGTGCTTCCTGCCCTCGCTTCTTTCACACACACGCCATAACTTCCTACTTCTTCATGCGGATTTCACACCCCTGTCCCACTGCTCCTACCAGCAATGCCCTTGTCCACCCCACCCTGCTTTTTACCTAAGGCCTATTCCAGTATCAAGAGCCATTTTAGGGGACACCTCCTCTAGGAAGCCTGCTTTTAACACACAGAGTCCTCTGGCCCCAGGCTGCATTAGATGCCTTTCCATTCCTTAATGCACCCTCAATATACTTTTATCACACAGAAGTTGGTCACATCTATTTATGTGCCTGTCTCTTGCATTTGGGAGATAGTCCTTGAAGGCAAGGACTTACAACCTTTGCTTCTTAAGAGCCTAGCAATGTTTACTGAACTGAACTGAAAATAAATGAAACTATGGGGGAAAAACATATTGGAGGTATGAGAGTATTTTTGAGGATTATAAATGTTTTGGAATAGTAGAAATTTTTTTTCTTACTTATGCAAATAATACTTCATGGTTTACAAAGTGTTTTCATATAAGTTATATTGTTAGATCCTTAAAACAACCCAAGAAGGTAAGGTAAGGCAGATATTGAGGCTGATAGAGACCCTAAATACATAAGAAATTTCTCCAAAAAGAGAAATATTATTGATTTTTAAAAGGGGTGTGTGTGTGTGTTTGTGTGTGTGTGTGCGTGTGTGTGATGTGTGTGTGTGTTCAGATAGATCTTCATAAGATCAGAGTTCCAACTTCAAATAAATTCTTGTTCAGTCAAAAAAGCCAATTGGTTTCTTCCATAATTACTAAAAAGTTTTCCCAAAAAAGAAAAACTCTCAATTGTTTATAAAAAATTTTAAATAACCTGTTTCCCTCTTTTCACTATTTCCCAAGCAGATTTTGGAAGACAAACCAGTTAATTCAGATTTCTAAAGACAAAGAGAGAACTAATCTACTCTCACCTTCAGAAGGACACTGGGCTAGATGCCTCCCAAATGTTTTTCTGATTTATGAAGCTATCCTTTTCTCAGGAGAAATCCAGCAGCTAAGACCAGCTTTTATCAAAGTCTTCAGCAAACAGAGGGTAACGAATGCTGAGAAAGAATGTCACAAAGATTCCTGGGAAAAAAAAAAAAAAAAAAACACAGGACAATGTAAATTGTTTTGGGTTAGTTCATTCTATTAAGCTGAGATTTCATCCTACTCTGGTACTAAAAATTGACAAGGGAGACTTACTACATATCAAATTCCATCATTAATTTTAACCAAGCATGATTGTACTTAATTACATCAATGTCTAAGAAATTTTAAGCACCTTAATGGGAACAGGTAATGAAAAAAGGTAACATAATTCCAATTACATTGCAGTGAAGGACAGAAGTCTGAATTACCCCTAAATAGCAGGAAGCAACTGCACACACAAATCAAAAAGAAAAAAAAAGGCACTTGATCTGATTCTACTCTAATGCTTCATGGGAATACACTGTGCTTTACAATCACATCAGCAGCAGGCTGTGGCGGGGAAGAATCTAATACAGACTGAAGAGAACAAACAATGAAGAACTAAGTATTTGATCAAGGTTGACAATGTTAGAGGAACTCAGCAATGCAATTACATTTTAGAGGTGGCTTTGAAGGCGGTAAGAAAAGAAGGCATCTGAATAAAGGGGTTGCTGAACACACCATTGTAAGAAAGAAAAAGCATTAAGGTTAAGGTGGAACAGAATAAAACCTTCATTAAACAGAAGCCAACTAACCGGCATGCTTCAATAATATTTTATTAAATATCTCACTTTTATGAGAAAGGGTAAAACCACAGAAGGAATGCTTCAAAAAGCTTTTTTTAAAACCAGAATTTGGCGCCAGTCTGTAGTAAGAAGAGCAGAAACCATGAGTTCTAGACCTGCCTCCACCACTAACAGTATGACCTTGGGCTTGCTAAGTGCTTTTCAACTGGATAAGCTTTTAAAAGTATCGATGGCTGGGACACATCCAAACCAAATAAATCCCTGACCAATTAAATCAGAATCTCAGGTGGAATGACCCCCAAGTGTCAATATTTTGCAAAAGAAAGTCAGGAAATATATTCTTTGATGACTCCTCTAGCTCTCACATTGTCTTCTCTACACTTCTGGCACCTGACAACTCATTTGTTTTAAAATAGATAAAATTTAAATTGATAGCATCCAAAACTTTAAAACTCTATAAATTAGTTCCCATTTTCAGAAGGCGGGAACTCAGGGTCAAGAGATACAGTGATTTATTCAAGGTCCAAGCAAAGCAGCAGCATGAGGATGGGGTCAGGTCTTCTGGGGAGGAGAAAGCCAGATGGATCATGAGCTGGGGCCAGACACAACTCTGTTTCAGGCTGGGCTGGGTATGATCCAAAGACATGAGCCACACTGATGACTAGGCAGTAATGAGGGTCATGGCTCTCTGGGCAGGGATGCATAACCACAGGGTTTCTGCTTTTTAAAGAAAAATAGGCTAGGTCCAGTGGCTCACACCTGTAATCCCAACACTTTGTGAGGCCAAGGTGCACAGATCACCTGAGGTCAGGAGTTCAAGAGCAGCCTGGCAAACATGGGGAAACCCCATCACTACTAAAAATACAAAAAATTAGCCAGGTGTGGTAGCACGTGCATGTAATCCCATCTACTTGGGAGGCTGAGGCAGGAGAATCACTTGAACACAGGAGGCAGAGAATGCAGTAAGCTCAGATGGCACCACTGCACTGCCTGGGCAACAGAGCAAGAATCTGTCTCAAAAAAACAAAAAGAAAGGAACACTAGAAGGCCGGGCACAGTGGCTCACACCTGTAATCACAGCACTTTAGGAGGCTGAGGCAGGTGGATCATTTGATCCCAGGAGTTCAAGACTAGTCTGGGCAGCATGAAGAAACTCTGTCTCTCTGGAAAAAAAAAAAAAAAAAAATATATATATATATATATATATATATATATATATATATATATATAAAGAAAAAAGATTAGCTGGGTGTGGTGGTGCACACCTGTGGTCCCAGCTACTCCAGAGGCTCAGGTGGGAGGATGGTTCGAGTTAGGGAGGTTGAGGCTGCCGTAAGCCAAGATCATGCCACTGCACTCTAGCCTGGGCTAGAGAAAGACCTTGACTCAAAAAAACAAAAAAGAAAGAAAGAAGAAAAGAAAATAGTAATCTTAGTAGCTAAACTATTGAGCACCTTGTATAGCTAGACACTGTGCCAAGAAGTGCTTTTGTCCTCACGAGAATTCTCTGATCCAGGTACTATTATCAATGCCAATGTATACATGAGGAAACTGAAGCCAGGAGAAATACGTCTTGTCTCAAAAATGATGGACCTCAAATTTTAGAATTTTGACAAAGCTACTCTCTCTCCTGACCATGCATTGCCTCCAAAAAATACAGTTCCCTTGCAGGCTGGAGGCAAGGCTGCTCTGCCCTGATATCTACTTTGTCTTTTTTGTCTCACTCATTCTCATGCTGGAAAGTGGAAACAGAAGTCTCCTGGAGTCTCATGGTGTTTTCAGATTTTCTCAGGCTAAATAACTAAATTTCTGTTGTTTGAGAGAGAATTTTCTTACACACACACTTCCAAATTAGTAGAGTTTGGATGCTGAGATTTAATTACACTATTTTGGAGAACTTCAGCTCAGGCAGCCCTCAGAAGAGTCATCACTGAAAACTGCCCTACATGACTCAGTTGATCATGGTATCTGAGTTTAAATGTCTAACTGAAATCTCTGGAACATCATTCATAATTCATGTATAAAAAATTTTGCTTACATTCTTACTTTCATCTTCAATCCTCCTAGAGAAGTATTCATGTCATACTTTGCTGCCCCATTACATTTACATTATGTAAATTATTTCCCTTTATGTATAGCATTGTTATTTACTATAATAAAATCTAATTTACAAATACGTTGCATATGAAATATATTTTATTTAAGAGGCTAATGCAAAAGCATTACTGTTTCTGACATCTTAGGCATATCCTAATTATACTGTGTCAGAATTATCTTCATGGCTCATTTTAATAATAATGTGAAAAGATGTTTCTCATTAGATACCTCTAGGAAGAAATAGAAGAGTGGTAATAAAAATAAAAACACAATTTTTGGAGACAGAAGGAGCCTGGAAGGTCACTAAATCCAACCATCTATCTGCCTATAGCCCATTCCATTTTTCTCTATGGAACTAGATCGTTCTTCCTGTAGCTTTTACTTATTGCTTACAATTCTGGCCCTTGGAGCCACACTCAGGTTCATATGCTAATGTAAATTTCCCCAGCCACAGCCCACTGTTCAGAAAAACAAGGACAAGCTATTGTCCAGAGGTGCTGCTTGGGGCAGGGTGCAGTGGCTCACACCTGTAATCCCAGCACTTTGGGAGGCCTAGGCAGGCAGATCACAAGGTCAAGAGATTGAGACCATCCTGGTCAACATGGTGAAATCCCATCTCTACTAAAAATACAAAAATGAGCTGGGCATGATGGCACACACCTGTAGTCCTAGCTACTTGGAAGGCTGAGGCAGGAGAATTGCTTGAACCCGGGAGGCAGAGGTTGCGGTGAGCGAAGATTGCACCACTACACTCCAGCCTAGCAAGAGAGCAAGACTCTGTTTCAAAAAAAAAGGTGCTGCTTGGATCAGGGGTGAGCACCTCAGAGGCTGGTGGATGACTGAGGAGGTATCTTTGTGCAGAGATATGCTAGAACAAAGATAATAGTAAGACAGGTTGATCAAAGCAGCTCTCTCTGGGATTTAGTTGGATGTCAGGAGTCAGAGGAGAACCTACTAAATATGCAGAGAGCAGAAAGACCATATGAGAGACTACGAGAAAGGGGAGAGTCCCTTGAGGTCATCTCAAACCTAACTTTCTACTTTACAGATCCAAACGGGGCAGCTGTGCAGTAAGTCCCTCCTCCTGAAGGTGTCCTGAGTGAATCTCTGTTTTTCTTTTCTTTTCTTCCTTCCTCCTCTCCTCCCCTCTCCTCTTCTCTCTCTCTGTCCTCACCCCCCTTCTTTCTTTCTTGACAGAATTTCACTCTTGTCACCCAGGCTGGAGTGCAGTGGCGCAATCTCAGCTCACTGCAATCTCCAGCTCCTGGGTTCAAGCAATTCTCCGGCCTCAGCATCCCAAGTAGCTGGGATTAGAGGTACCCACCACCATGTCCAGCTAACTTTGCATTTTTAGTAGAGATGGGTTTCACGATGTTGGTCAGGTTGGTTTTGAACTCCTGACCTCATGTGATCCACCCGCCCTGGCATCCCAAAGTCCTGGGATTATAGGCGTGAACCACCGCGCACAGCTGAGTTTCTGTTTTCTATGGCCCTGAGTGCCCAAATTCTTATAGACTAATATTATAGCACTCCATTTACTGCCATTCTTACAGCTACATTTCAGATTGATAGTTAATATTTCCCTAATCTTTTTGTAGGTCTTTTTGTTAGTAACAAGTGAAGGCTTTATTTTCACAACATCGATATTTCACCTTCTTAGATTGGGTCCCTTATCCCAACCTGCCAAAAACTTTTGATTTTCAAGCCCTGTCCTTACAAAATATTTGTTATGCCATCATCCATGAGTTAGACAAGAACATCATCCAGCATAACATTCATGCTACTGATAAAAAATTCAAAAATCAACAACAATACAAAATTGGACACAATTTTAAAGAGCAAATAGTGGCACAAAAATGTGAAAATCAAATTGTCAGTAAATAAAAATGAATTTATTTTAGTGTATATCATTAATTAAAATTAGTAATTACCAATACTCTAAGTTGATTGCCAATTATCCTGAAAATATAATAAGCTACATAAAGTGACATGACCAAGCAATCCATTTGCGGGATAAAGGTTTTAGCATTTACTCGCTACAGATTGCAAAACCCAGAAGAATTGGGTTTCGGCATCATTAGAGAAAATGAGGCCATAGTTGAGATAATTGGCAACTTGAACTTTGTAGCTGGAGTAATTACCTGTGCAGTCGACCAAGAAGTTATGTTTGAGAAACATATTGCAAAAACAGAGCCAAGTTAGCTTCAACCTTCCCTGAGGCAATCATGGAAATTAGCAGAATCTGTCATTTTAGGTCATCGGTATCCCCTTGCC